GAGGACTTGGATCAGAGGCTAATTTTTCCCACAGAGATCGTAACAACTACTCTGCGACCAGACCTTGTTCTTTGGTCTAACTCCCAAAAACTTCTGTACGTTATTGAGCTGACTGTACCATGGGAGGAAGTAATTGAGGAAGTATTTGAGCGTAAAAAGCTGCAGTATACCAACTTGGCAGCTGAGGCAGAGGATAGAGGCTGGAAGATCGGAAGATCAAGGTGCGCCTGGTGGAAGTGCGGCGGATTTGTTGGCAGTACAACAGCAAAACTGCTCAGAAAGATTGGGATCAAAAGACAGGCACAATGGCAGGCTATAAGAGAATTGGCTAACACTGCTGAGAGGACCAGTTACTGGCTATGGCTAAAAAGGGCTGACATCACTTGGGCAGCTAAGGCAGTCAACTAACGGCGATACACATGCCCAGGATTGATCGACCTGTGGTGGGCCTCCCGCAACAGAGTAAAACATAACATTAGAAGTTTTGCGTGTTGACTGGTACAGCTGTCTCAGGGCCTCCTGGAGACTGTGCAGTTAATCTCATGGTAGTCAAACTAAAAGGAGGAATGAAAGAATAGGAAAAAAAAAAAGTTCCGCTCTTCTCCCCTCTGCTCTTCTTCCCTTTTCTGGGAGGCAGTGGGGAGGTAGAGCGTACAGCCTGATCCAGCGGGGAGGTGTGGGAAGCCAGATCGGGCGCCCCCCTTCCGGCTCTCCTCTCTGTTCTCTCCTATCTTATCTTACTTACTTGTCTTACTTCTCTCTGTCACCTTTTCTGTCCCTTTGAAAAAATGAGGCTCCATAAATCTTAAAGAGGTAAGTATTTCTCAGTTGCAGTGAATAGATAGAATAAACTCTTATTCTTCACTTTACTTTGACTGAAACATGTTAAAATAGTCATTAAAAAATTCTTATTTGAAGCTTTATTTTACATATGGATGTGTTGAACTGTAGTTACATTTTGTGTATTTCCCATTGCTTTCAGTCACTTAAAGAACACCTTTTCCCCCTTGCTTTATTTTTTTTTAAAATACAAATTACACAGAGAAATGCTTTTCTTGTACAAATGACAATAAACGCTTTGAATCTTGAATTACGTCTTTAGATGTAAAAGCCTCTAAGTGCCGCCTCCATCAGCATTGTATCCAATGAAAGCTCTCTGTGAGTGCTGTAAGACAAACGCTTTTGCTTCAAGTCTTGCTAAATCCTACCTTAGCCTCTGAGCTCCTGACCAGAGCACCAGTCCGAGGACACAAATCAGATCATGTCAAGTCTCATTTATCCGTTTGTTCAGATTATCACAAAGATGCTTCTTACTAACTTCATGCAGTTCTGTCTTGATTTACTTGTGATGACACTCATATAGTATTTTTTGTCATTTCTTAATTTTTTATGTTACAAATTTTTTATGAGCATGTTACAAATACAACAAAGGCTTCTACAGACAAAAACATGGCTGCGCCATGGGCTCCCCCGTGTCACCTATTGTAGCCAACCTTTACATGGAGGAAGTGGAAAGGAAGGCTCTTGGCTCTTTCAAAAGAAGAGCACCCAGCCACTGGTACAGATATGTAGACGACACCTGGGTCAAAATCAAGACACAAGAAGTGGAATCCTTCACTGCGCACATTAACGCTGTGGATAAAAACATCAAGTTCACCAGGGAAGACACAAAGGATAACTGTTTGCCTTTCCTGGACAGGACAATGGAATGGAAACCTCAACATCGAAGTTTACTGGAAGCCCACACACACGGACCAGTACCTCCTCTTTGACTCCCATCACCCTCTGGAACACAAACTTAGAGTAATTAGGACCCTACACCACCGGGCAGAACATGTTCCCTCTAAGCCTGAAGGAAAAAAGAAGGAACACACACATGTAAAGGAAGCACTCAAAACGTGCGGCTATCCTAAATGGGCGTTCTTAAAGTCAGCAAAGAGGCACAGAAAAGAAGATCAGACACCAGCGAGGGAGGATAAGAACGACAGACGTAACAACATTGTCATCCCCTATGTAGCCGGTGTATCAGAAAAACTCAGGAGAGTTTTCTCCAAGCATGACATCCCGGTGCATTTCAGACCCAGCAACACGCTCAGACCAAAACTGGTTCACCCGAAAGACAAAACTCTAAAACACAGACTTAACAATGTGGTGTATGCTGTACAGTGCAGCGAGGAATGGCCAGACCTCTACATTGGAGAGACCAAACAGCCACTTCACAAGCGCATGGCACAACATAGAAGAGCCACCTCCACAGGACAAGACTCAGCAGTCCATCTGCATCTTAAGGACAAAGGACACTCTTTCGAGGATGCCAATGTTCACATTTTGGACAGAGAGGACAGATGGTTTGAAAGAGGAGTGAAAGAAGCCATCTATGTCCACTGTGAGAGACCGTCTTTGAACAGAGGCGGTGGTTTACGACACCAACTCTCTGCCATCTATAATCCAGTTTTGAGTTCCCTCCCCAGACGCCTTAATGCCCACTCACATCCTGGGCCATCTGACCTCAGGAAATCACATGATAGGGTGGGGCCAGGTTTCACAATGAGCTCACCCGAAACCCTGGCTGATTGGGACCCACATCCATTTTCACACCTTGGCTCAGGCGATTAGAGGATCATCAGGGGGTCCTTTTGTCCCTCTGTGGGGGGAAGCTCCCACTGCGCTTAAATCTGGGACTCTCCACCATTTGACCTTAGAACTGAAGAAGCTTCTCGGATGAGAGGCGAAACGTCTTCAAGCAACTTAAAGAAGTCCAGACGCTTTTCTTTTCAAGCTCCTTTGACTACGATGACCTGGATGATTGAGAACCTTCACAGACATATGTTACATTTTATATTGATTGATTGTCATGTTTATCCTTGTTTTGAGCAGCGTGTGGTGCAACTTTTCTGCATTGTCTTCTGCTTATAATTTATTGTTTATGTGGTCATTTTATTGCTGATAATTTATTCAGTGTTTTGTTTGTGAACTGTGTTTTCATTATTTGTAATGTTTCGGTTGCATCTTAAATTTGTTTGCCACTGTTTCCTCTGAATTGTCTAAACTGGTGACCTTAAAGGTTTCTGCACAAAATAAAAACAAAACAAAAAATTATTTAAATTACATTTTTCAAATAAGACATTTCATTCAGTGTCAGTTTTAATTAATTCTAATTTCGCATTTGAACTTTTCAAATTCTGAATTTCATGCCAGAAAAATGTTTAAATTATTTTGGGGCAGGGAAAACAAAAAAGTACTAAATTTAATGCAATAGAGGACAAAAACGTAGCTCTGTGTCACGGGATGGGCAGCCTTGATATTCCAAATAGAGCACAGAGTGTGGGTGCTGGCACTGTTAGAGATATTGTATCTCTAACACATAGCAGCTGCAGGTTAATTATTGATGGCATTAAAGTCATTTCAGTGTGAAGCTAATCTTTGACATGTGAGCTGCAGATTAGGATTCTTTAGTGGTTTGAAGTGTTTTATTTGGCAGAAGTCTCCTGACGCAGAGGAGCGATCACAGAAGAAAATCAGAGCATTTTCTGATTTTCAATAGAAAGCTGGTCCAGGCAGCAGAGAGCTGCAGAGTGAAGTTCATAGGAACAAGCTGAGTAAGTGCAACTTTGATTCATTTGTCTCTGAGATTTCTTCTTCATCACAGAGCTGCTGCTCTTTGTTAATGTTTGTTTGTTTGGGGAACAGATTGAGACTCATTACATCTCTGATACATCTTGTATTGGATGAAATCAATAAAAACAATACACAAAATTCCTTTATCAAAAAAGTCTTTGATATCCAATTTAGAGCTTTTCAAACCAATCCATGTAAGAAGAGCTTTTCCCCCTCACATCACATCAGACAGACAGCTTGTGTTTTTCTTTATCAGGCAACAACAGGTTGTTAACAGCATCATGAAATGTGTCTGAGTGTGCACGTCACATCAGATCCGAGCAGAGAACGTCTGACTGTAATGTGATGTTTAGTAAGATGGACTCTGAACAAGCTCACCATCAAACTGTAAAACTATAAAAATCCTGTATTTCATGTTGATGATGAGATTGTTTTATGAAGGATCATAGTTCATTCCTGTTAAATATTCTCCATAATTCATGGAGAATATTTAACAGGAATCGCTGAGAGCCCCCTGCTGGTTCCCTCTAAGTCAGGGGTGTCAAGCATTAGGCCCAGGGTACTGAATCAGCCCAGCAAAGACTAATCCTACCTGCTGGACGGCTTTGGAATTTTTGACTTTTGACTTCTAACTGTATTTTTATGTTTTACATATTTTCCTACTGATCAACATCTCCCCATAGCAATTCATTCATTCAAGCTTTTAAATAATATCTGTTTTAAAAAGTTCAAATACATCTGCTTGCTGGGCTGGAAGTTAGATTTCCACCACTGTCTGCTTGTGAAATTTCTCTGGTAAGTTTACCAATTGCAGCTCTGAGTCAGTTTCTTGATGGTGAGTATTACTGTTGTTGAGAGGTCTACATCTACATACAAATCAAATTTACTCTTTTTCTCAGACACTTCAAGTTGCCCTAAATGATCTATCCTAAGTAAGCATAACTTTGTTTTTTCGAGGCAATGAGTTTGCGTACTTTTTTAAAAAAAAGTTCTGGTAACTCATTACTGTACAGCTTTTCATTTTTTTCCTTCTGATTATCGAATTAGGGGTTCAGGTGATGAGGAGGAAATTAAAATATTCAGTCAAAGTAGCTTCATGGCTCCATCTAATGGGCTGATAGCAGAAGTAGAGCAGCTGATGGCAGCTTCCTCTGCCTCACACTGCTGTCTGACTGCATTCAGCTGACACTGAGATGAAGCAGAAAAGAAGCAGCTGATATTTGGACAGCACACATGATGGAAAGGAGGATTTCAGTTGATTTGCACATGAATGATTTGTGTTTCCTCGGAAGGTGAAGGTGAAAAGTGTGTGTGAGCTGACGTGAATTCAGCAGCATGGATCAGTGTGAGGACAGAGAGGAGGGAGTCCCTCCATCTAAAACCACTCTGTGTGGGGAACATGAGAGCCAGACCAAAGCTCAGAGGTGAGATGACCATCTCTAACTGTCCATGACTTTTCCCATGTCCCAGCTCAGCACTCACATCACTTAAACTTCATTATTCACAGGAACCAACATGGAGCTGAACCCAGCTGTGTGTCCTTAAAGAGCAACTTCTCAAAAGGTATTGGTGAAGATTTTATGGGACAACATTCTCCACCAGAAAGGTAACCTGTAAATGTCTTTACTCTTTTTCACACATACATTTTTGTGTTCATGTGTTACACAGTCTGTGTTAAAGGTTGTTTTTGTTTTAATAAGAATACCTTAGCCTTTCTTAACAAACATAAGTTGTGTTGTCTGTCCTTTCAACAGTGGCAGAACACACTTCACTCCCAGAAGCTGTAAACAACGAAATAATCAACATATTTTGACACAACACACTCAGTTTTTTAAAAAGAAAAAAAAAATCTTCCAGCTATAATGATAGTGAATAATAAATATTATAATGTCAAGGACTTGAGTGCAGGAGTGCCTCTCACATTGATGAATCACAGTGTAACTGCAGTAGCATTTGTAGTTCTGATGTGTGAGATGACCACCTCTGACTGTCAATGAGTCTTCTCCATGTCATAGCTCAGCACTCACATCACTGCTCCATCATTATTCACAGGAACCAACTTAGACTTGAGCCTTGGCCTATACCTGAACCCAGCTGTGTGTCTTTAAAAAGCAACTTCTCAAAAGGTATTGGTGAAGATTTTAGACAACAGCATTCTCCAGCAGTGAGGTAATTTGTTTTTTTTTAATAAATGTTCAACTCTTTTTACACACATTTGAGTGAATAATAATAATAATAATAATAACAACAACAACAACAACAACAACAACAACAACAACAATAATAATAATAATAATAATACCTTAGTCTTTCTGATCAAACATAAGTAGTAATGCCTGTCCTTTCAACTGCAGCTAGGTTTGTTTTTAAATAATCAATCAAAAATTATGTTAAATAATGAATTATCAGTAATAAATATTAATAATAATTTTATTGACCATTAAATATATTTACAAGTACAGAACCTCGGAGTGCAGGAATGCATCTCTGGTTTTCTGGGTGATGTGCTGTTCTAGGGGCACACAGTAAATGAACTGGAGTGTATGCAAGTCTGATGTGTCAAAGAGGTTGAGTCCCCTCATTAAACTTGACCTCTCTAAATAATGGCTTTAATATTTAGTCCTATTATAGCTGATAAAGTACAGAGTTTAGAAATATACACACATGTGATTTTTTAAATTGTAATTTTTTTTAAATTCTGTATTATCATTAACCGATCTAACACAGTAACTGTTAAAACCAGGAAATCAATGTGGAGCAACAAGAGTCAAAAAAAGTGATCTCAGCGGGAGTGGAAACTATTTCTGTGGGGTTATTACAACCACAGGGAGTCACTTGCTTCAATGTTTTGTCAAAATATCAGTTACTACATACACTTTGAACTAATCATGATTTCTCCACAGAGTGGACACAAAGACCTCAGTGGTTCCCAGTGGTCATTCTGCCCAGCAGCAGTGTCAAAAACACCTGGACTCCATATTTATGGTCTGTACATGTACAACAACTACTGTACTTTTACATCTATTCTGTTCACAGTCATCTACATGATGCTATTTGTAGACCAGTGCAATGTCAGTGTTTCATGGATCTTATATTGTGGCCCACAATTTCAGTCTAACTGGTTTATTAATGCAGTGTTGTGTTCCAGCTGCTGGAGGAAAACATTATCACTTTTGTGAAGAATGAGTTGAAGAAGATCCAGGAGGTTCTGAATCCCGGTTACGGGCAAAACCTAGAGCGTCAGAATGAGGATGAGGAGGTGTTGGACACTGAGAATCAAGAGCAGAGGAACAGCAGCAGAGAGGCATTTGTGAAAATCACACTGCACTTCCTGAGGAGAATGAAGCAGGAGGATCTGGCTGACTGTTTGCAGAGCAGTAAGAAGATTTCTCTCAATATTTAAACTGCTCCATAAATGTGATAAAGAAAGTTTGCAAAAGAATCTATGCAGTCCTGTGAAAAATGATCATACTTATTGCTGGAGCATTCAGGTTTGTTTTAAGACGTTGCCAGAGTCTTAACAAGAGTGGATGTCCTATAAAATTTATACAGTCATGTTACGTAAGGCCCCAAATGGCTGCCGTGCAAGAAAGTAGTAGCTCTAATATTGACCAGTAAGGAACCACCACACGCACACTGCAATGGGTACACAAGATTTTTTTCCTCAGAGTCAAACTACTGGCTGAAGACAACTCTGGCCAGGAATCCAAGGCCCAAAGCCACCACAGTCAGGGTTGTTAGCCTGGTTACAAACAGGGGAAAGGTGGTCACTTGGAAGAACAAGCAGCCAAAAACATATCAATCCTGCATCTTCCTCAGAAAGGTGTCATTCGAGGTTGGGTCTCCACATCAAATCCTGGGGCTTCCACTCTCTAGCTGAAATTTCCCTAAAACTTGTCCAGTTTCCTTTTCATGGGCACAGAGAGTCTCCAATCCAGTGTTTTTTCTCCAAGCAGATCCACACAAATCCCAATTAAAATGAGTCCTCCCTCCAACATCCTCAGATTATTTTAAAAGCAAAACCAGGCCAGGTTAAAAATCTTTTTCTTTAAAATGTGCACACTTATTTTTGGAGTCT